AGCTCAAAGAAGCAAAAGAGATAAGGAAGAAGATTATGAAAATTGGAAAATTCTAAGTGTTGGGCGCTAAAACGCCCAAAATTGAGCGTTTTAGCGCCTGCTACACAAAAGATGCTGGTGCTGAACATTAAAAGGCCCAAAACTGGGCGTTTTAGCGCCCAAGATAGTTAAAAGCAGTTGGGCATCCGTCAAGGTTGAGCGCTAAAACGTCCAGAAATGAGAGTTTTAGCGCCCATGTCAGTTTTCAGTTGTAATTTGTAAATTATAAAAGGACGAGGGGCCTTCACAAGATGGGAATCAGATTCAACTCTCTCATATCCATTCTCTGATATTCTGACTTTTCCCATCACACTAGGAGAAGGGAGATCAGGTCAGATCTTTCATAGATCTGATCTGACTCCTCATTTTCTCTGACTTTCCAAATTCTTAGGACTTAGTATTGTAATAGTTAGTATACTTTCATGTAATTGTACTTGAAGATTGAAGACTCAACTATCATGACAATGGAGTTTGATCTTTCTTCTTCTTCTCTTGTTATTATTTGTATTATGTCTGAGTAGAGTCCTTTGTAGTCTGATTCAATGGAACTCAAGTTTGAATTTATGAATGGTTAATTAGATGTTTTTGGGTGTTTTAATGTTCAGCACCAGCATCTTTTGTGCAGCAGGGCGCTAAAACGCTCAGTTTTGGGCGTTTTAGCGCCCAACACTTAGAATTTTCCAATTTTCAAAATCTTCTTCCTTCTCTCTTTTGCTTCTTTGAGCTTCAATTTCCTACAAGAACAATGTAAATTTTCAATACAACTTCCAGAACTTGTATTTAGGAATTTATAGGACATTGACCTCTTTTTCATCCATTTAATCACACAAATTTATACTAATTCATGCTCAAAACCTGATGAACTAAGGGTTCATCACAATTCCCAGATTTGAACATTGTTGTCCTCAGCAATGAATTAAAACAGAGAAGGACTTGAGATTCTTTACAGATGAAATTCATGAGGATGGACTTCAATTAACAAAAGATCAACATTTCATGATACAAAATTATAACCATGCAATCTCTTATTTCCTATGATTTTCCCAACATCATTTGTGACTTTTCAACAGATCAGTAAAGATGATATACAGAGACTTCCAAACAACAACACCCTCACTAGGAACTTCTCAAAAATTATGAGAATTTTAACACTCTTGCACACTAGTGTTTAAGGATGTACTTAACACTCATTCTTCACTACACTCAAACTGCCATAAGCTTGCCCATCTTCTCACTATTCATAGTAACAATGATCCATAAGGTAGATCAAAAAGTTTTTGGTATGTTTAGCAATGAGGCTTGGTGTGTGGCTTGACTAGAGGTAAGGATTTCTGTGAAAGGGGAAGTTCAGATCAAATAAATCAGATTCAGATAAGAGGGAATTCACAGTAATTAATCAATTTCTTCCTAATTCCCTCAACTTTCTTCCTTTTCATTCCTTGTTCTTTTCTTTGAACATTTCTTCCTCCTTTTCTTCCTGACACTTTGTGTCTTTAACAAAAAAAAAATCTTTTTCTTTCAGACACTTTATGTCTTTAATACTTCCCTCTGTCTCTTCCAAACACTTTGTGTTTCACAACCTTTTCTTCTTTTCCTTATTTCTTTCTTATGTTTCCAACACCTTGCATTCACTTATTGCAAAAACATTTTCCTCCCCATAGAACACTCCATCCCTTATCACTTATCTGAAACTTTTAATCTGAAGGATTGGAATAAAAAGTGGTTCTTGGCTTGATAGACAACAGGCTAGGCTCAAGTGTTTCATGCAATGGGAACTTAAAGGTTGGCCATTTGACTTTCTGGTTCAAGAAGGAAATGCCTCTACCCTACACATCATCAACCATTTCAAGCAAGAAACAGGACAAGTTCTAGAGCTATTCATGCAGTGAAGTGCTCTCTGAACAAAATTTTCTGTATAAGCTCAATTTCCTCACAGTTCAGAGTGCATGCTTGACTTTCTCTATATGCATCAAAACTAATCTTTCTACTCTTACACATTGAATGAGTCATGCAATCATTTCATTTAAGCTCAACGTGCAAGGTATAAGATTGTATCTTTAATTTGATCAATCATATAAAACTTTGATCAGTCAAATCTTCATGGTATTCATATTAAAACTGAAATCCAAATTCACTATCACAACTAAAATCTAAATCACACAGAAAACTTAGAAAAGAAAAGAGATTGAGATGTTTCCCTATTTTGGCTCATCAACTTGTGTGACATCTCCATGATGTTTGCATGCCATTCATTCACACCCAATTCCCAGATTTAAACGTTGCTGTCCCCAGCAACTAATTCAAATATGAAACAACAATGGATCACTGAAACACATTCATATATAACTTAATAGCATCAGTACTATCGCAATGTGTATCAATCAAAACAGTGAATATCTCAATGCATGTAACAGAATTACAAACTAATAGTAAAATAAAACAAAAAGAAAACTACCAGATTGATACAACATTCCATGGACATGTTATTAACAAGAAAACCTAACATATATGATCATAGTGGACCAGCGCTAAAACGTTGAAATCAAGCGTTTTAGCGCTGGTCTCCAGAAACATGTGCACACTGATGTGCGTAGCATGACGCTAAAACGGTCACGTCTGAACGTTTTAGCACTCTGTATCAGAAAAAAAAACAAAAATCACATATAAATATAAATTGCTAAAAATAAAAGATTCAATCTCAAATATTAATGGTGTCTGTCAATGTTGAAGAACAAATCCCCGACAACGGCGCCAAAAACTTGTTGCGAATCTAGCAAGTGTACTAGTCGTACAAGTAATAAAATGATGAGTAAAGATCGTTCCCACGAGGATTTGTGTCAAGCACTGACTAACCATATGTATTTGAGTTGAATCAACCAAAAGATCACTGATTGCTTGATTTCTTGTCACCAGAAATAAAGTTGAATTGCATAAAATTAAGATTTGATAAAACAAATAAAATGTACTTATAATTTAAACAAGTAGTCAGATGTCATTTTTCCTCAAACATAAATTTATAGATTAACCAATTTCCATTATGAATTATCTACTATGTGATGTTGATCAACCTTTTTCTTATCATCTCAAGATGTAATCCCTTACTACCCTGATAGACACACTAATCAGAAACCCCAATCCCTTGGTGATTCCTTTCTTAATACATGCATTAATTACTAAGGTCTTAAGATCACATCAGAATCCTAGCATCAATCCCTTGACTACTAGAACACTGATGATGAAGTTGTCAAAAATAGATAAACAATGTAAACATGTCTGTTCTACACTATTCCTCAACATGAAGAATTAATCAAGACAACTTCATACAATCACATAATAGATAAACAAAACATCTAATTAACCATTCATAAATTCAAACTTGAGTTCCATTGAATCAGACTACAAAGGACTCTATTCAGACATAATACAAATAATAACAAGAGAAGAAGAAGAAAGATCAAACTCCATTGTCATGATAGTTGAGTCTTCAATCTTCAAGTACAATTACATGAAAGTATACTAACTATTACAATACTAAGTCCTAAGAATTTGGAAAGTCAGAGAAAATGAGGAGTCAGATCAGATCTATGAAAGATCTGACCTGATCTCCCTTCTCCTAGTGTGATGGGAAAAGTCAGAATATCAGAGAATGGATATGAGAGAGTTGAATCTGATTCCCATCTTGTGAAGGCCCCTTGTCCTTTTATAATTTACAAATTACAACTGAAAACTGACATGGGCGCTAAAACTCTCATTTCTGGACGTTTTAGCGCTCAACCTTGACGGATGCCCAACTGCTTTTAACTATCTTGGGCGCTAAAACGCCCAGTTTTGGGCCTTTTAATGTTCAGCACCAGCATCTTTTGTGCAGCAGGGCACTAAAACGCTCAGTTTTGAGCGTTTTAGCGCCCAACACTTAGAATTTTCCAATTTTCAGAATCTTCTTCCTTCTCTCTTTTGCTTCTTTGAGCTTCAATTCCCTACAAGAACAATGTAAATTTTCAATACAACTTCCAGAACTTGTATTTAGGAATTTATAGGACATTGACCTCTTTTTCATCCATTTAATCACACAAATTTATACTAATTCATGCTCAAAACCTGATGAACTAAGGGTTCATCACCTATACAGATAATTTTTTTTTAGAGAGTCCTCACTGCAGTAGTACTCTAGAACTTGATCTAATTCTCTCCAATGCATGTGTTGATTGAAGTGATAAAGGCATTTTATTCTATTAGCTTATGGCCAAATAGCCACCTGAAAAAAAATCATCCATTGCTAGCCTTGTTGAGCCTGAGACTATTTTTGTTCCATTACCTGATTAAACTCTCTAAACCACTTCAGGTAAGGTCATTATTTGTTTCTTCTTCATGATGTATAAAATATGTTTGCACAAAATTTCCATAGTCTCAAATTTGTCACACGAACAATGAGTTGTGAATGTTTCAGTCAAATGACAGTCAACAATTGCCCACCACTTTTTATCAACTTCATGAGACCCCACCCTATACTTGATCAAATTTTGTTCTGATGAAATCTTTTCATGAAAGTAATCAAGTATGGCAGCCTTCCACTATCTTTTAAAGATCTCAAATAATTTTCTTGTGTAGCGTTCTCCAGCTATTTCTTCAATTGGATGATTAGTCTCCAAAATTGCTTTTGTATTTCTAGTTTTGAAATCCTCATCTTCTTCTGCATCCCTCCTAGACTTGATTGCTTTGTCATATTGGGTAACAAAATCATTTAACATCGTGTTAGAGTTGACGTATCCTTCAAAAAATGCATTGATGCTCTCACTTCGGCCACTTGTGGTCATTCCAGCAAAAAAAGTATCTTTCAAGTATGCATTTGCCCAGTGATGACGTGAATCATACATGTTAGCCAACCAACTACCTGCTTTAATATCATATGTAGTCCTCAATGCTTCCCACTTGCCTTCAAACTCATCAATGTCTCGTCTTTTCTACCACTCTTGGAAGTCAATATCAAAACTCTCTTTAAATTGTACGCGCAATGCTTGACTATGCTTCATAACATGTTTTTTTATGTGCCATGCACAAAAACAGTGTCGTGCATTTGGAAATATATTAGCAATTGCTTTTCCCATAGCTTTGTCTTGATCAGTCATAATAGCAATAGGAGACTTGTCAAACATACATGTCCAAAACTGTTCAAATAGCCATGTAAATGTTGCCTCTGTTTCATCTTCTAACAAAGCTGCAGCAAATAAAATTGATTGCTCGTGGTGATTAACCCCCACAAAAGGGGCAAAAGGAAACTTGAACTTGTTCGTTTTATAAGTCACGTAAAAAACAAGGACTTCACCAAATTGAGCATATGCAGCTCTCGACCTGCCATCAGCCCAAAAAATGCTTCTTAGTGTACCATCTTTTGCCAAATGCAAATCAAAATAAAAAGATCCATCAAGAGCAGACTTCCTTTGAAAGTGTTTGATGATGCCTTGACATTCTCGTCCTACATTATTCTTTCTTTGTCCTGATAAAATAGTGTTGACTTGAACATAATTAATATTAACTTCTTGGTTCATAGCATTCACCACCTTTGAAATTTTTGATGACGTTAAACCCTCCTCAAAAAGCTTAGTAACAAGTGATTTAGTGAAATTTGAGCGTCGTAAATCACTATGAGAAGGAAACTTATTCACCTTTGAAGGAGTCAAAATCAATGGATGATTATATGCATCATTGAACTTCTCCACGATCCATAATCCATCCACTAACTTTATTTGTAACATCGCTGAACAATTTGTCCTTGAATCTCTTCGCCTTTTGACATTGTGAACACCAACTCTTTTATCATTTTGTCTCTTGACACCTTGCTTTGAGCACACATAATTCCACCTATATATTTGTTGTGTTTTCATATTCCTGCTAGTGTAATGCTTACGTATTCCAAATCCCTTACCTTGTGCATAATCATTATAGATACCATAAGCTTCCTCTGCTATCTTAAAGACTCTCCCTAAAATTGGGGCCTCACTCAATCAACTATCATCATCTCCCACAATTTCTTGTATATTATCTTCACCATAATCACCATCTTCATCTTCCGTGATTTTACACTGATCATCTTCTCCGAATTCATCATTGTCTTTCTCCAAATCAACATCATCAGCATATACTAAACTTCCACTTATGTCAATGTCTTCAATAGTTGTTATTTGGGAGTGATCCATTACAAAGATGTGCAAAAATTGAATAATAGCCTGTACAATATTTACATCAATTGACACACAGCAACCTCAATTCATTAGTAAAATATAAGAATAACTGGAAAAGAAATATTCATTTACGTTGACACACAGCAACCTCAATTCTTTAAAGGTGTAATATTGAAACCACATTACCCAATCTATATGCAAAAACTTTACATTGGTAACTTCTTCTAATAACAGAAAAATATTATTTTCTTGTAATGAATAATAACCAAGTTGATAGGATATATAAGATAGTAGCTACAAAAGAAAAAAAAGTGCAAAAATAATATGCACGCAAATGTTGCGGCTATACATGTTAGACAACTACTGCAACAACTAAGAACAAGTAGACTGAGAACCTTAAACTCAGTTCAACCATCGAAATACTCTTATGTTATCTCTCATAATATCTCCTTGTGCCTAACAGCCCAATACAGTCACACGGAGAACGCCATACTGCAAATCAAAACAAATAGATAGGCTTAAAAAAATTGTAAAAGTAAAGAAAAATCGTAAAAGTAAATTTACATGCCATTAAAAAAAATCTGAACTAACTCAAAATGCAGTAGATGAAAGCTTAACACATTAGAGAATGAAGGAACAAACGTTTAAAGAAAAATATATAAATAAAACAAATCTAAAGAGAGAAAAATAATTCTGTTAAGAAAAAAAAGACCAAGAGAACTAACCTAACACGGTCCTTACCTCACTAAACTAATCCATCAGAAAAATACCCCACCATAATGGTTCAAATGAACACTATTTTTTTTCCTTCTTCAAGATCGCGGCAAGAATCAGAGTGGGAATCTCTTTGTGGAGAGTGAGTTCAGGTTGGGGTGTGTGGCGGTGTCGCTTGCTGGAAGGGCGGTGGGGAAAGAGACAAAGACTGATACGTGGGAACGAGATGGGGATAAGGTATTGTTGTCATTCATTTGCAAAACGACACCGCTTCTAAATGACCGCATAAAATGTTAGATACGGTCATATTATATACAATAAACTATATATATATATAGGATAGGATATTGTGACAACCAAATATTGTTACTACCAATCAATGTTACTACCACATCTTAACCGTTGATTTTCGCAATCAACGGTTATCATTTTTCAAATCAAATTCATTAATTAATTATTAATTCGCAATAAATGATAACCGTTGATTGGCGTTAAGATATGGTAGTACCATTGGTAGTAACATTATTTGGTTGTCACAATATCCTATCCCATATATATATATATATATATATATATATATAGGCAGGATCTTTTGATACCGGTGACACCTCATCTGCGATGACACCTCATCTGATTGCCATTAGATAAAAAAAGATCAATGGTGTCAAATGCTTACAAATCAGAGTCGTTGATCTTTTTTGATCTAACGGCTCTCAAATGAGGTGTCAAATTTAAAATTTGACATTAGTGTTAAAAGATCCTACCTCATATATATATATATATATATATATATATATATATATATATATATATATATATATATTGATAAATATTAAATTTAGGGAGGAACCAACGTTGGATCCACCCAGAGGGGCTAGGATGGGCGCCCCCCAAAATTTGAAGAATTTTTATTTTAACATGGCGAAGTTGGCAGAGCAGACAGAGCGATATGAGGAGATGGTTGAGTTCATGGAGAAGGTTGCGAAGACGGTGGATGTTGAGGAGTTGACTGTGGAGACTTTAACAATGGAGACTTTATCCCCAGTTTCTTCATCTTTTTGATAGTAACATGATTCTTTTTATATTTTTTGCTGACCTTGACTTCGTCCTTGGCATCACGAACTTGCAGCAAGTGAAGGTATCTACCACACCTGATGGCAAAGTGATGGATCTGTTTTTCATCACATATATCAAGTTTTACATTATCTATTTGCTACCCTTTAATTGCTTGTTCATTTCTGGTGAAACCTCTTTATCTATTTACTAAGACTGCAAATGTGTTGGAATGCATATTTTTAAGTTGGTCCGGAAATTACCTATTGTTCTCAGGCAACTTTTATTCCTTCCAATTGCAATAACAGAAGATATCTTCAATTTGGAATTGCCTGATTTGGTTCGAAGTGGACAACTTGCTTAGTCCTACTCACACCCTTGTCCAAATTATGTGCCAAGACCACAAAGGTCTTCTTTATGACATCATGAGAACTCTGAAGGACTACAACATTCAGGTAATAATAATTTGAAATATGAACACAAATATTTCTGATTGTTTATTTCATGTTGTTATAAAAAAAATAAAAAAATTCACCTCCCCTATTAAAAATCATGGGTCCGCCACTGGATGCACCACTAATGACCAGATCATGTGAAATTTGACAGAGATGATCTACTCCGATTGTGAAGTATATGCATATAGGAAAGAGGAATAGACTACTCTCGTTTAATATTTTCTCATCTTAATAAGTTTTAATAGAATTTTAGAAAGAAGGAAGGCATCGGAAAACCAAAAGAAAAAAGAAAAAGAAAACTAATATTCTTGATTAGTCTAATTCCAATCATTACAATTATAGCAATTGATAGATGAAACAATTCGCGCCTCATGACCTTACACAGAAGCACTTATTGAAAACAAAATGACGAAAAACAAATAAAAATAAGGAAAAAAAAATAACAAAAGGGAACGGAAGAAGAAAATCACACGAAACAGAGGAGGCACAAATGTTGGACTTAAGTTCTACCCAACATGAGGACTAGGGAGCAAAGCCTTTCTTCAAAGTTTCAATGGTAGCGACATCAGTCTTGAAGGCCAAAGCCAAGACGGTATCATCAATGGATGTGTTGAACAGTGTGTTTGGAAGTGATATTGTCCCAGCATTGGCACTACCAAAGGCTGATATAGCGAGAGCTGGAATCTTAGGATCAGCATTGTGTTGGAAGTGCACAAGACCCTTTGGGAATATGAATAAGTCTCCAGTTTGAAGATTCTGAGTGAAAAGCTTATTGGTTGTGTCAACAAACCCAACTTGAAGGGCACCCTGAGCAACAAAGAGTAGCTCAGCAGAGCGAGGGTGTGTGTGGGGTGGGTTAATGCTACCAGCTGGGAATTGAAGGACAGCATAAGACACACTCTGTCCAAATAGAGCAGGGAATTCTATCATGCTTGCCTTCAATACCTTAAATTCAGGGGGTGGTGTGTTTTGTCCAACAAGGACACGAAAGCCAGTGTAGGTAAAGAAGTTCCCATCAATTGGGAGGCCAATTGGTGCTATGAAGTCAGTGAGTATGTCAGGGTCACCTGCCCTTGTTATTTGCACAATAACAAAAGCCGATATCATCAGTGAGAGAACTTTAAACATAAAGGTAGACATGGTTAGTTAGAATATTTACCAGGTTTAAAGGCTGAGGCTACGGAAAGCTAAGATAACGGTTGAGATATGTGCTTTTGGGATTTCAGGAATGACATATATATATACATAGATAAGGGGTTCTCTGTTTGGAAATTTTGAGAAGGGATCAAGAGGGGGTTTCTATCGATTTGCTGGCCACTCGGACGCTAACCACAATGCAGATTACAATGTAACCTCTTTTGTAGTTTGCATTTGTTTGATTGTGCCATTCAGCTAGATGACACCAAAATGTTTAAGATGAAGCTGTCATTTAGACTTTAGTTAATTATGAATGCTCATGGGCGGCTTTAGCAAACTGATGTGTGAAAACTTCGGTAATTTCAGTATGATAATTTGATTAGATTAATTTTTTATATATATGATTCCGATTCATTCATGGTAACATTAATAGGGAATGATTTATGACATATATTTTCAAACAAATTATATATCATCTATCAATTTCTGCCTTTTCTTTCTTTTGATAGTTAATTTCTGCCTTTTTGACCTGATGATCGGTAATAATCATCTATCAATTTCTGCCTTTTTCAGCTTCCGCTTTAATTTGACTTGGTCCCAAACTGCACATCAGCATAAAGAACAGTAAATAATAAATAATCTTAATCCACCAAATGAATACAAAACTACAATAAAGAAAGCATTAGTAAAGTAGACGAACCATCAGCATAGCTTCCTTTGTCAAGCATAACCAAGCTGTATGTGAAGTCAGAAGCACATAAAACCATGGATGTACAATTTTCTTTGAAATCATTCTTCTTGGAATCAAACCCAAATCCATACCGCAAACCAAACTCGGGATCTCTGTATGACTTACACAATGTTTGGGAGATTGGGAATCGGAGGCGTCTCCGTGTCAGAGGGTTAAAGATGATGAAATTCATTTTGCAATGCTTTTAGACGGTAGGCGATAGAGGATTTCCTCCACTATATCTACCGGAACACAATGTCCAGACATTGTGACGCCGCCGATGAGGAGTGTACTCTCCTGTCACAAAACCAACTCTAAGGGTCGTTTGGTGGAGAAATTTTTATTTGTCCGGAAATCTCGATTTTTAAAAATATAATTTTTGCATTCAGTTTATGTTAATATCCAAAAATTAAAAATTCAGAAAGATTCAGTTTGCTAAGAATCTCGAAGAATCCCGAGTAGCAAACGCCCCTAATATAAGAGAAAAAACTAAAGCCGGCAGATTGAAAAAGCCCATAACATTAAAGACCGTATTATTGGGTAAAACCCCGTATTATTGGCTCATCTATTTCTTCAGGTAAATATCAAAAGAAGAATAAATTGACATTAAATTA